GTCCCCGGTGCGGTTTTCTTATGGTCCCCGGTGCGGTTTTCTTATGGGCCCCGGTGCGGTTTTCTTATGGTCTAGGTGCGGCTTTCTTATGGTCCCGGTGCGGTCCAGGTGTAGTGAGCCCACACTTTGACCTGTGATCATCCTCTTTAAATTTTAACACATTTACAGACTCTGATCTGTGTTGGAGTTGATTGGTCACTCAGGTATTATTATTATTATTGTTGTTATTATTGTTGTTCTACATAAGTTCTTCTCGACTCGATACATCTCACTTGACTTGGACCCTACGCTCATACTCTCAGATTGGGATTAGTGTTTCCTCTAGGTCTGAGCTGCTACAATCTCCGCTCCCCGTCCGTCAGTAGCGGAGCTGTCTGGTTTTGGTAGGCTCGGCACCGTCCGTTGGGTTCTGGGCGCCCTCCTGGGATAAAGGTGGAGGAACACTGGATTGTAGATAACAGATTTATTTATATTCATGAAGATTGTCATTCATAAGATTTTTTTCTTCTCCGCTTTGGAAAAAAACCCACCCTACATGTAAAGATGCATGTCACCCAGAGCTCTGCGTTTTTAGCAGAACATCATACGCATTGATTAAAGTTCTCCATCGATCCAACGGATTTCCATCATTTTTGAACGTGGCCAGGACGGATTTCTGTCTGTAAAATATTTCAACCACCGTGCTGCCAGGTTGGCACAGTTGGTAGAGCCGCCGCCTCTCAACGAGAAGGTGGCCTCAGTTCAAGTCCTGGCCTGGGGGCCATTCTGGGTGGAGTTTGCTTGTTCTCTGTGTGGGTTTTCCCCTGGTATTCCAGTTTCCTCCCACAGACCAAAAACACGCATGTTAGGCTGATTGGTGACCCTAGGTGAGGGTGAGAGAGTGAATGGTTGTTTGTCTCATTTGTCTCTGACTCCCTGTGATGGACTGGAGACCTGTCCAGGTGTCCCCCGCCTCTCGCACATTGACTGCTGGACATGGGCATAAGTGACCCCCGCGATCCGAAAAGGAAGAAGTGGGTCAAGATAATGGATGGATGGGAAAAAAAAAGTATGCATCTTTTATGATTGTCTGTTGTTGTTGTTGTTGACCACTGTTCAGTTCAGGTGTCACTTGTAAATCAGTCCCCGAGGCTCAGTGGGATTAACTTGTAGAAATATAATGGATGGAAGGAAGGGTGCTATCAACCAATCAACAGAACCAGTTTGATCCAATCACAGCAGGGCGGGGCCTGCTGTCTGGTTCATGGTGAGCTTGGGCTTGAGCAGCTGAGAGAGAGGACAGACACCCTGCTACCCTTACAGAACTGCCCCCCCCCCCCATGAAGGTGATGTCATTCAATAATTCGCACGTAACCAACTTGCTGCAGCCGGAGAGATGCCAGACGTGAAACACCATCACCCCCTCCTCCTGCATTGCACCCCAACCTCCGGGTCTTTTGTATCTAAAATCTAACTTTGTGTTAAACCTTAAATGTGTTTGAAGCGTCATCGGACAGACATGTGCAACATGTGCGTGTGACAGAACACGGAGAGAGACGTGCACGGCAGCAGGAGTGCGCAGCCTGTTGAGTTTCTCTCATGGTGAGAGAGGCTGTTTCTGCTGGTTTAGTTTGTCTAAATAAATGTTAACACTAAAAGACAAATATTTTTATGCCCCAGATTGTAGCAGATCTGTGAGTTACTATTAACTTAATTTTTTTTAACAAAACTTGGAGTTCTTTCTAAGTCAGTTTCAGGTGTTGGTAGTTTATCATAAATAAATAAATTTATTTCTAGGTGGTAGCTATTATTGCATTAACAAGATGTTTTGGCTGTTTGGATGAGCTAAACTTGATTATAATTAGAATCATGCAGAGGAGTAACTACTGTGATAAATATAATTCAATAAATGATATGAAATATAAATTAGAGCACTACCTACATCAGTAGGGCTGGTATTTTAGGCCTATATAGACGCTTGGGGACCTAATGGTATTGGTGATAATTGTCCTGTACTGGCCGATATAAGCGCTTCTAATGTTTACCCCTAACATGCTGGAACCAGCCAAAATTGTCCTGTGTATCTGTCAGAGGGCGCATGAAGACTACTTTCAAGTCATGGCCGTTCAGTTTAAGTTTCACTTTGATGTTCATCACAGCCAAGGCAGGGAGCAATACTGTGTATCATATTTTTGCTGAACAGAGCATTGTAAGTTTATAGTAACTGATCTGTAAAATAAAAAAAATAAAATAAATTGTATTCAGTCCTCTAACCTGCTTGTCATTAGCTACATGCCTCTCAAGATAGCAAGCTAATGTTTAGCATAGGCTATTGCCTTGTCAAACTATCCAGGACAATGTATCTAACGTAGAGGTAAACTGTGTTATTGTTAGTAACGTTATCTTTGTCGTTCTCAATGAAATTCATCATTGGCCTGAATTCTCGACTTCTCTACAACGAAAAAAACCGGATCAAGTCAATACTAATTGGACCTTCACCGTACGTGACTGACTGTTTAAACAATGAACAGGGAAGGATGATTCTTTGTGTAATTTATATTTTTGTAACACACTTTATAACTTTTATGGCGAATAGTGGAGGACAGAAAATGTGAACGCACGTTAGGAAGACCGTTTCAAGATTTTTTTAGAGTTCCATCCATCCGTTATCTTTACCCGCTTCTTCCTTTTTGGGTCACTGGTGCCCATGTCCAGCCATCACTGCGAGAGGCGGGGTACACATGGACAGGTCTCCAGTCCATCACAGGGCCACAAAGAGACAAACGAGACGACTATTCACCCTCTCACCTAGGGACAACTTGGAGTTACCAATCAGCCTAACATGCATGTTTTGGTCTGGTACCCGGAGAAAACTCACACATGCACAGAGAGAACATGCAAACTCCACCCAGAAAGGCCCCCGGTCGGGAGTTGAACCAGGGCGACCTTCACGCTGAGAGGCGGCAGCTCTACCAACTGCGCCGCCATGCTGCCCAACTTCAAGAGTTAAAATAGTTTTAAAAGTAGCTGTTTACGTAGATTCTTGGGGGGTGGACAAATCTCAAATTTTCAGCCAATATATCTGTTATTGGCATTAGCTTTTCGGGTGAAGGACGGTTCTGTTGACAGGGCGGGGCGCCCTCCTTGGACAATGGTGGGGAAACACTGTTGTACAATTACGCCTTTTGCAAGTAAGGACAGGGCTCGTTCCCAGTATTTTAGGGGTGAAAATTAGAAGTTTATACCGGCGCATAATGGACTACCACAGATACTGATA